TTTTTTTTTTACAATTTCACCATCACTTTCTCCTTTCATTGTGGACACTGGACAAGATCCTTCGATCCACCCACCGTCAAATGTTCCGTCAACTCAACAAAAAAGTTAATTAGCACAAAACGTCCCCATTTTAAATTTTTTTTGTGCAAAACGTTCATAACTTTCGTTTTATAAATGTATGGATATTTTACGCGACTTAAATTTAAAGGTAGGGTTTTTTTGCAAAGTATATTAAAAAATAGGATTGTGATGTACTTCGAAACTACAAGCCAAATAATAATAAGGTGAAAACGGATTGCTCTCTAAGAAACTCATGCTCTTTTCTTATTTCATGAACAACCCAAAAACTACAAACGTTTGAAAGCTTTAAATATGAAAGAAAACAGTTAACTTACTGAGTCAACGGTCCCTAAATGGGCTGGGCTACAAAGCAAAACAAATAAACATTAAAATTAACGAACTACGAAACTTAAAATGCTGTTTTAACTGGGAAGACGACGTCAAACGCCCAAAATCCATCATACGTGAGTTGTTGTCGATTTTTATATGNATACTTATCATGAGTTTAATCCGAATCGTCGCGAGCTTTCCAAAATGGGGCTATGGGACCAAATTGGACACCGTATGCAAAAGTTATGTCATTTTCTTTGAGCGTCGACAATCCAAGCGCTCCAAATATGCAATCGCCTGTTCCTCTACATTAGCCTTATCATTCTCCTCCACATTAGCCTCATCAGATTGTTACACATAAAACATATTAATATGTAAGAATGGTTATCACAAATTCAATTTTATGCTAAAAAGAAAAGAACATGTTCAATTCATCTTCTCCATTAATATGTAATGGGTCAATCATCATTGAGATCTAATAGATTATTAACAGCATCACATTTGTCATTGTTCTTCCTATTTTACTCTTATTTACACCCTTAATAAGCACAAACGGGGATGAACATCTCCAGTTTATCGGCCACATATTCAATCTCTACATTTATCGTTTCAAATTTTATAAGTAATTCGGTATTGCAGCAGCCATTGTTCTTCTCAAGGTGAAAATACAACGTTCTTTACGTTATTTCTTATTTATTTAATTGAATAATCGTATAAATTATTTTCATATTACTTTTAATTTTGAACAGTTAACTTTGAATGCGGGAAGAAAGCCAATGGAAAATTGGGTGAGAGTATATTACCCTTGATTTTTGAAAAGAAAAGTTGTATTTTTTTTTTTTTTTGTTGAGTTAACGGAGTATTTGATGGTAGGTGGATGAAATGACATTTTCTATAATGAACAGTGAAAGCGAGAGTGAAATTGTAAAAAAATAAAAGGCATGGAGGTTTTGCACAAAAAACATTGAAATGTGGGGACATTTTGTGCTAATTAATCTTTGTTGAGTAACGGATCATTTGATGGTGGGTGGACGGAAGGACCTTTTTCACAATAAAAGGTGAAAGTGAGGGTGTAATTGAAAAAAAAAAAAGAAAGATAGGGTCGTTTTGGCTTTTGCACAAAAAAAATTGAAAAGTGAGGACATAATGTGCTAATTTGCCATTTTTCTCCATCTCTATTCACAACTTTGTGCGGGTGTTTTGGACTTTTTACCCACTAAAAATCTCAGCTTTCAGTTTCTTAAGTTCTAACCACATTTTCAGATAAGAGTATGTAGAATGAGACCTTCTTGTGAAGGCAATTATTTGGTTTAAACTTTTTGTTTCAGTTTCCTGTTTAGATGGTCAATAGATATGTTTGTGGCAATTTTTGTCTTTTCCTCTCGTTTTTTTGGCCCTTGATGTCTCTGACTTTCTTTGGAAGTTTTCAAGCCACAGAAAGGTGGTTTCTGCTATTTCACATAAATTCTGCTACCATTTTTGTTGGTTTGATTTACTCTTCAGAGAGCTAATTCGAGATAACTGTGAAAAGTTCGTTTCTTTTTGGAGGGTTTTGAAATAAAGACAAGGTAGATTCCTGATATTATCTCTTACACGCCTATTTTTCTCTTATTGATTCCATTATAAATTTTAACCGTGCTTTCGATCATATCTGTATAGAGTACTGCGAGAGCGGTTTTGTGGCATTTTTTGGGTTTTTGCAAGCCATGGCAGATGTGCATAGGAGAGGCAAAGCATTGGAAGATGAAGATTTTCAAGAAATAGAGGTGTGGCCTTCGCTCAATGAGTTCTCGTTAAAGGGGAAAAAATCCAAAAAATATTCTTCCAGTTCATCATCGTCTATGTCTGCATGGGATTTATCTTCTCCACCAAACGTGATCCCAAAAGCAAACAGCGACCGCCATGAACAAGGGGTAACTGGCAGAACTGGCTGGCGGTCAACGGCTCCGGTGGACATTCCCGACTGGTCCAAGATCTTAAAGAGGGATTCATCAAACAAGGAATTATGGGATGGTGAATGTGATTCTGATGATGGTACTAGGAAAAGATTGTTCGATGACTTTGAGACTGAAGACGGCGAAGAAATGGTTCCACCGCATGAATATTTAGCCAGGAGACTTGCCGGAACTCAGATGGCTTCATTCTCAATGTTAGAAGGTGTTGGAAGGACCCTCAAAGGACGAGATCTCAGCAAATTAAGGAATGCCATTTTAACCAAAACTGGTTTTCTTGAATGAAACCTCCATCTCTACCACCGTCTACGGCGGTCCACGCGTGTGTCACCGTCCTGGTTATTTCTTCTGTTCTTGTTTTTCTCGTGGTACTAGGGCTGCTGAATATTTACTGATATTTTACATTTATGCAAGATATTTTTGTCAGAACTGGCATTTTTGGGAACTTTTATTTTTCATAGTAAATAAATGTGTGGTGAAAAAATGATGAAAAGTTTTTGATTTGTGTGTAATATTATTTTATTTGGAGAATGTGTGATTGAAATGAAGAATGAGAATGAGAATGAAAATGAGAATGAGAAATTAATGGGTGCCAAACGGGGGCTAAATTATCAGGCTCTGTGATTCTTTTATGGAAAAATTGCGTTTCCGCCAGATGGACTATTTGGATCCGGTTCTGGGTACATGAAAGGAAAGGAGTTTAATTTATCTCCCACCTTAATGTGAGGAATTGTAAAAGTTACAATTTCTTAATAATTGTACAAATGGATTTTTCTGACTAACCCTCTTGCGACGATTCACAATTATTTTATTACAATGATGAATAAAGAATGTTTGGTTGTACTTAAAAGTAATTTCAACTCAAAAAAGCCCGTGGGCATAAATTGTTTTCAAAATCTTTTTGTTATTTAATAAATAGAGAAGTCATCAAATCTAAATGAAAAATGGTAGTATAATTTATGTAATATTCAAATTATTAATTGATTAAGATCCACTCACGACCTACACTGAATGGATTATAATTAAGCGTTAATTAAAGCGAGAAAGCAACATTATCGTTACAGTAGGTCACCTTCGCTCTTTCTTTACCTAAATATAATTGAATAGAATAAGAAATTTTCACTAATTTAATTTGGGTGTATTATTTTAGTCGAATTGGCAACTAGTAAGATATTCATCTAACCTTAAAAAATGTAAATATACTTTTTAATTTACTAACAATTTGTCTCTAAACATATTTGAATAATTTATTTTCTTCTTACTTACAAAATTTACTATTTTCAAAATAATTTTTCCATGACTGTCAAAATATAATGTAATTTAATTATTTATAATTTTCAAATTATTTACTTATAAATACATTTTAAGCATTGTTAGTTTACTATTAGATTATGCATTGGTTGTTGAGAAAAGTACATACATGTATGTATTCTCGGAGAGTTATTTATGTTGATAACCAATCCCCCGACATTAGGTACATTCCAACCAAATTTTAAATGCTTCATTTATTTTTAAGGAAGATAATGCATTCATATTCTTGTACTAAAATTACTGCTTATTATATCAGATATATATTAGGAAAAAGTTGTTTGTACACCATGTGTACGTACACCTGTCTCACATGAATAGTGCGCGCGAATATTTTATTGTGTGTGGGACCCCCTCCATGTGAGGGAGTGTAAAATATTGTGTGACTGATTATGTACATGTAGCATGATTGTATATATTATGCTACAATCATGTTATAGTTACAGATTTTTTTGACAGAAAATTTTGACATACACACTTGTCATGACAACATTGGAAGATGGGAAAGGGGTAAAAAAAAAAAAAAAAAGCAGGCCATCTAGGTTTGGCCACGTCCGCTTCTGAATTACTTTTGTCAAAATTTTCCCGTACTTGAAACTTTATTGATTAGGCTACGTATTGGTTTGATGGAAATTAAAGGAAAGTCGAGCTCCGCAAGGTCTAATAACTCGCAAAGACCAATAATGTCATGTCAAGAACAAAGTCACGCGTAAACATATATTCTCAAAATCCCATTTCATTGAAAATTTCCTTCGGTCAAATGCATCGGAAACATCTTGTTCAAATGATGATTCAACATAAATACAAAGAACTTACTCCATCGTTACAACACCACGCCTTATATACGAGTCATTTTCAATATTTACATGACTACATTAAACTTAATATATACTTTAACCAAAATCAAATCCGATCATTTGAATGTAATAAAAAAAGTATCGTGTATATAATTCACTAATCTCTACCCAGACAAAGTAGTCCACTAATCAACAAGTCATTATTTATAATTAATGACACCATCTACATGTCTAATCAATTATCAACATAGTACTTCATAATTAACAAGTTATATAAATACCATATTGTTAAAGGACTTGACAAAATTAAAGTTTCTCATAAATATATTTTCGGTCATTAAATGTTTGAGCCCCATTTTTAGTGTAGAATATATTTTGAAATAATAGATTGAAAGAAAATATGTGATTAAAAATAAGGATAACTTTTAGGTTTGCGTGTAATATTATTTTATTGAAAAATGTGTTATTGAAAAGAAGGGAGAGAAAATATATTTTCGCGCATTCATGTTCAATTATAATTAAATGGAAAATATTTTTATAATTCTTTTTCTTCAATTAAGGCGTTCAAATTATCAAACTAATCTCATTTTAAATTTCTTGCATGTATTTTCAAAAATATAATAGCATAATATTCAATCGGGAAAAAATAAATAAAGATGCGCTGAAATTAGATTTTTTAAGGTTGATTTGCGACCGTCGCAGGAGATTGATGTGTATATATATATATTTTTTTTAAGTTGGGGATGCAGGGACAAGTTAACTTAAAAAATGTAAAGATAAAAATAAAAAACTTGGGAGGAATAAATTTAGTTTTTTCATTAACCCACATAATAACACAATTGTTTTGATAATATATAAAAAATACTGGATCATAGTGTTAACTTTTTTTGTTTTTAATTAACAGGTCTCTTCTTTTTTGTTCATCTTGCAATGCATATTCTTTAATTCGCCCGTGGTAGAGCTAGAGAGCTAGCGCCAAAAGGTAGGAATAAGATGGTCGGAGGAATGATGCCTATGGACATTAGTCAAAAAATATTCCAGAAGTATTCAAAACATTGATACATTGGAAGAACAGTTGTATAGTAGTCGTGGACTCGATGCTTTGAACTTTTGCTCTTTTTTTGCAGTTTTAACTTTTGGGTATAATAGCATATTTGGTCCCAACCTTTCAAAAACTTGTAGGATATACACCTAACTTTAAAAAATAGCACTAGTCGCCCCCCAACATATGAGAAAATAGGCATGGTAGGTCCCTAATGACAGGATCCGTCAATTTTCTCCGTTATCTCACTCTAAGTGCACCTCACGCGTTATTAGATCCAAATTTGCCATTTCGTAGTAAGCATTCATTATTCGCACCATGAGATTGGACCGCACTTGTGCGATGACGACATTTCGTAGTAGGCATGTTAATGCAAACTTCTTGGCCGAGAAGTACATGGATACATTTAAACATAATCTAGGGTGGCGAATGAATGGTCTCATGGATGTTGTGGAAAATGATTGTGCTTCTACTGCGTTAAGGTAAAATTTTTATTGAACTACAACCAATTGTTTGGAATCAATTAGAGGTACAAATAAAAAATAGTTCACAATTTTGAGTGATCCGATAGCATAGCACAATTATCTTGAAGACTATGATGGATGGAGAGGCGACAGAGTTCAAGAGGGTTTACGTTTGCTTAATTGCATGCAAACTAGGCTTTAGAGCAGGATGTAGGAAGGTAATAAGCTTTAGAGATGTTGAAGTTTTATTTTATGATGCGCATGAAGAGAAAGAGAGAATCTGTTAACAAATGGTACAACGAAATTGTGAGCCAAATATTGTGAGCCAACATGGGCTGGTGATTACGAGTTTGAGGTTGAAAATTATGTGGATAATCATTGATCAAACAGTAGAATCAAGTTAATTTTCACTCTTAAATTTTAAATACAATAAAACAAAATAATTGGAAATGGTAAAAACGACAAAATGAAGCATTGAATAACATAAATGCAGTACACACAACACTTTCCAAATCAAATTCATCGTACAACGTTTGCAAACTTGTAAGTTACCTTCACTAAAGATTGCACAACTTGTATTCCTATCAAAACTAGCATTCATATGGGAGGTAGCAAATTTGTAAGATACCTTCACTTAAAATTTTCTCTAACAAAGTGATCGATGGTGTTACAGTAATTAACAATAGTGACTAAAACGAGTAAGAAGAGTGCTTCTAAGGATCTACTTGAATTTTTGCACAAACTTTAGTGACCATTTGTGAAGTACTTCCTTTCCTGGGTGTTGTCGAGACAACCATTAAAAAAATAAATAAAATCAATGGAGACTCAAAACAATTGAGGTCTTAAAAATGTAAAAAACATTTTGTGAGGAAAAAAATTAAAAGAACTAGTCCAAAGGTTACTCGTTAATAATGTTTCCATCACAAAATTTAGCGTCCTTTTCAAATGGCGGACAAATTTTCTTATGTGAACATAGACCAAATAGCAATTTAAAACTCGCGCTTTTAAAACGAAAGTTGTGCAATTGAAACAAATTTTTAAACATACGGAAATGAAGTTGAAAGACGCAATTTTTATGACGTGACGTTTTTACAAGTTGAAAGACGCAATTTTTATGACGTGACGTGATCATTAGTAGTGACCAAATTGAAATAAAATAGAAATGAGTTTGGAACAAAAAAGATTAGATGATCAAAATATAACTATGCCTAAAGTTGGATGACCTTTAGTGTTTTGTACCCCTTAAGAAAATATTATTTCGATTTTGAAACTCAAACGAAGTAGAATGTCCACAATAAGAAGCAAATTACATATAAAAAACCCCAAAAACTCTCCCAAACCCTTGACGCTCAGAAAGGTCACAAGGCCGATTTTTCCGACGCTTTGGCGAGCGGCCTAGTGCCGCTCGTCCGGCCACTTTGTTTATTTTCTTTGCTTCTTGTTTTTCCTTTCTCTTTTTCTCGTCCTTCCATGTCCTTCCTTTGCTTGCAAAGGTAAGGTTTTCTCTAGGTTTTTTGTAGACTTAATTTGTCCTCTTGACTTCATGTTTGTAGAGGTTTTGTATTGGTGAAGGTTCTGCCCGTCTCGTTCGCCGATTTGATTGCCAGTTTGAATCAGTCGCTGGTTATATTTTTGGTTCGCAGTTTGGGCTTCATGCTTCAAGGTGCTTCTGTCTGTGTGGGATATGTTTGGGGAAAGGAGTGTTTCGGCCGTGGACTTTGGAAGATCGATCGAAATCTTTTCGCCGGGCTTCTACCGGCGTCAGTGTCCCCTACCCAGATATGGTCCATGTAGTCTCTCTATCAAGCCCACTGTCGGACTGAGACTGTGGCCATTGGTTGGAGTGGGATAGGAGCTTGTTTGGTTTCATTTTCTTTGTATGTTTTTGGGTCTTGTTTGGCTTTGTGGTAGCTTATGCTTTGTCATTGGAAGCACTTTAACTCTCTGTGGAGGACATTGTGTTGGAGGAAAATCCTCTTTGTATCCGCTTGCTACTTTGTTGCTAAATGAACTACATTTTAAAAAAAAAAAAACGATGTAGAATGTCAATCAGATTTTAATTTATCGACAATATTATTGTCTCCAGAATCTGTCGTAATTAATGCTGCTGTCAAAGGAAGATTCTGTGACTTTCTTGAAGCCATTCTTGAATATTCTTTTAGGACAAATATTGTTTGTTTCGAAACCATTTCACTTGTCGCTATTTGGGCTATACTAATTACTAATGGTTCCTGCAAGTGTCACATTTGGTCCAAAGTCAGCCCATTTCGAAGCTTCCAGGAATTGTAAGAAGCAGCTTCTCCATGAATTTCTCATTAAATTGCAGGACGTGGGAATCAAGAAATCGTGCTCGTTTTGTGACTATAAATGGGGAAAGAATCAATGAAATCTTCACAAACTTGAAGGACGAGCATTTTTTTGCCAAACAATATATTGTCGATAAAAAATTGATGTGAGTGGTGACTTTAAAACCAAAACTTACAAATCTTAACAAATTTGGATAGAGTAACGGTAAGAAATTGAAGAATAAACCACACGAAAGTAAAAACAAAGTCAAGGTTAAGAGTTGAACTCTTTGTTTTTAAGTCGAATTTTCCCCGCAACGAAGTTTACGGATTACGACAATCAACTCCCAAATTACAACAACTATCTTCTTGTGTTTGTAGCACTCTAAAATACAAGAAAAAGAACCAAAAGATAGATTTATGTACTCCCTTTAAATAAAATGGAAAAACAGTTTTTATGCAGAATTTTGACTAAAAATAGATGAAATTTTATGTTATGCTATGATTGCATATCATTGTAATGAAATAATTGATGTCTCAATGGTCTTATTTATAGAGGAGATGTTGTGAGCGAAGAGACACGCCTCAAATCTCAGCAACATTTGTCAATAGTCGCAGTTTCTGTTGTCGCTCCCTTGTCGCCTTTACGTTGGTCGAACGTCAGAAACAGAGAGCTTGTTGCTCGAGCAATAGCTTCACCGCTCGAGCGCTGCGAGCAGTGGAGTTAGACAAATTTCCGGCCAGTTGTTCTCTCTTTTCTTTCCAACTTTGGACCGCAATTTGTCATTTATCCGGAATTGATTATGAGATTCCAAATTTACCCAACGATCTATTCCAGAGTGGAATAAGTTAGTTTATTTATTTTCATAATTTGACTATCGATCAAGTCCGAATATTTGGCTGAAATAGACCTTAGAGTACTTTTTCGTGGTTTTAATACTTTATCAATTCCAACATATATATTTCTCAATTTATAAGTCCTTGTATTTCTTGAACTTCTTAACTCACTACGTACACTCTCTCTCAAAAAGGGATAATCATGGCCTTCTTTTCGAATGTTCTTGTTTGCTTTTTGGATTCAAAGCGGGTTGCAGTATGTGAACAAGATGAAGTTAGTAGTACCCAAACCGAAGTGCAAGAGAAGAAAACAAAGGCGGCGGCGAAAGTGCAGCAATTCCAGTCTCTTACTTCCCTGTTGGAACAACACTGTTATAAGTTGATTAATTTTAACTATCAGAGATTAGCCTAATTCGTTCCAGCCAATTTTACTCTATAATTGATATGTGAAAATAACTTAGATTTGAGTTGGGTTTCGGCTATTCTTTAAGATAATCAATTCTTTGTTATTTCATTTCAATGGAGAGTGTATCATTAGAATTTTTGGTCCATTTCTGATTTCTGAATGTGTACTTCGTGATTATTTTAATTACTGAACTATTCTTTAGACATTTGATTTCAATTCCAACGACGACGAAAGCGGATAAACTTTCACCTATACAAGAACAAATCATGAACACGAAGATGGTCGTGCATCCATGTAGAAGAAACATATAGATATGGTAAACAATATAACGCATTCACAGAAGAGAAATCGGACTACATATCCTCAAGAATACGAGACTAATGCAACTGAATACTTTCCAACCCCCGTAAGGAAAATATTCTTTCACACAGGATTCGAAGAGGGTCCCCCAGAGTTCTAAATTTTGAAGAGGCGTTACAATCTATTAAACAAAATACTGCACTTGCCATTTAAACACCTTCAGAAATTTTCGCAGATGCTCCCAGTACAATTACATGACAATTAATTTAACAGCAAACACAAGTCAATCACCAATTATTTATTTTCTCCCAAAACACTTCTTCAGGTGCAGCATGAAAAATGTCCATCAAACTCTTATATTATATGAAGAGTTGCAATAATATTACAAGATATTCAGTTCGACGTCTTGGCACCCAGAATCCTTGAGAGCTCCTTTGCAAGAGGCTTTTCTTTAAAAGATTCTTCCCTTTCCAAATGCCATTTATTTGTCATGTCTTCAGCCTGTGATTAGGTCATTTTTAGTGGAAAAACAAAATTACAGATACTTTCAAGTTAAATTTCCTGCCTTAAATATTGGAATAACATACCCAAGTTCTCAAGGGAATTAGTTGTTCTCTAATCATTTCCATCCTTGGTCGAACGAGGTCCTTCCCTCTAGTCCGAATGTCATCAGTCTGCCAGAAAGAAAAGTAAAATATAAAGAAAACCAAAAACATGCCACTATAGAAAATAAACCAAGCAAAGTATAAGCTAGCAGAAACTACGACATATTATGAGGAAATTATAAAGTTGTTCACGTATACCATTGATCTAATCAACACATTTTACATCTATGCCATCACCATCTTACAAATATACTTACATTATGCAACTCCAATTTGGATGCTACTAGCCCAAACGTTAAGGTGGCACCACCAAAGACAATAGCAGTAGCAACAGCAAATGCTGATCCAACTGCAACGGAAGCGAAGATGGGAAATAAGTAAGCATGAAAAGGAGTTTAACAAGATATAGAAATCTGTTCAATTTCTGAAGATGATGATTCTGCAAAGACTTGAATCATAAGAAGTGATGCAAGAGAGACAATTATCATATGCCATCAACAGTAAAAAGCAGAATATAAGAAGCACGTCTAAGTGTGTGCTGAAATCAAATATAAATTTTATTTTCTAACTGAATGTCGTATATTTATTCAGCGAACCTTGAGTTTTCCCAAGATTGCCCTCAAGGAACTTATGGACCATAGAATTGTAGATAAAATACTGCTTTAATCTATTACTAAGGATGTGTTTGATAGATATTATTTTGGAAGAATGTATTTTGGAATAGTAGATTGATGGAAAATGTGTGGTTGAAAAAGAAGGAAAAGTTATTGATGTGATGGAAAATATTATTTTATAGAAGAATGTGTGGAAGAAGGAAAAGTTATTGATGTGATGGAAAATATTATTTTGATGAAGAATGTGTGGTTGAAAATGAGTAGAAGAATGAGAATGAAAATTTTAATGGGTACCAAACAGGGGCTAAATCCTTTCAAGAAACTGCTGACTAAAACCTTCCACGAAGTGTTGGGAGATTGCGCACAGACCTGAGATGAAAATTGAATCCCCTAATTTTCTCTAACAAATAGTTAAGAGAAATAAACCAAATGCATGCAAATATAACTTAAAAATGCAATGAGGAAGTTCTAGAACTTACATCATTTAATGTTTAGTTCAGTATTTTAGAATTGACAACAGACATAGGCAAGAGGATTGGCTTAAACGGAGCCATAAGCTGAGATTATATGATATAATAGAGTTGACATAACCTTTTTCCCAATTAATCATGACATTACTTGATCAATTAGAAACCAACAGATCTTATCTAATAAAAATCATGTCCTACTTCGAGATAGCCCAGCAGCAGCAGCCTTCAGCTTTTCAGGGTTGATAGGGGTGTATTTGTCACTCCGCAAATCATTAGCAGTTGAGGCTAAAATGGAGTTCTCTGAATTAGGTAACTGCCACCTGAAAATAACCAGAACCAACACAACAATTTTATAGACGTTCTCTGCTATATCAGCAATAAAATCACATTCCCTTACATCTAGATGTACAAACAGATTTCTAAACAGTCATTATTAAGGGTATGAACTGCCTATTGTAAAAAAAATTGCAAAAAAATAAAAATAAAAAAACTTTGTCCACATTATCCCATTATTTAAACTCTTCCAAGTCGAGACATTTGAAAACCAAACTTAAAACTAAACAAATTAACAATCCTTGATAACTAAATATGCACAATTAATTCTACCATATGGCTATATGAGAAACTTCTTTACAAAGGAAATTGCCGTAGTTACAGAAGAAATCATCAAGAAAATTAGCTAAATCTAGGAACTAAGTGTTGGAATCTAGTTAATTCAGTTTGATGAGTTAGTTAGATTAGTTGGTTAGTTTGCCATTTTCCATAAATATACTCCTTGTATTGAAAGTTGAATTGGATGAGATCAATATAATTTCTCAGCCCATTTGTTCTATCATTTTCTCCTCTGTTTTCTTTTCTACTATGGAGCTTAATTCAAGCTTCTTGATGAAGCCGTGGTTTTCAATTCTTCTAGAATTTAACATGCTATCAGAGCAGATTTGTAGGTTTCTGCTGCTCTTCTGATCAATTTCTGCTACAATTCTTTATTCAATCTTCATGAATAATCATGGAATTGCTGTTACCATCCCATCAGTTGGTCATCTGTGAGCAAGTCTGCCATAGATGAATTTCACATGGCCAAGGAGTTGTAGTCCCTTGACCACATCAGAAATAACTTCTGAAGGCTTGGATTTGATATCTCCATTTGTGTCTTCCTTTATGTTCTCTTCAGCAGGCTTACCTTCCCACACCTGCAGCTGCTTCTGAAACTGCTGTTGCTTAGCTTTCTCCTCCTGAATTCTCTTCTGGCAATCCTCATAGAACTCAAAAGCATCCAAGACACGTTGTTTGCTTTGAATGATCCATGAATATTTTGAGCATTTGAAGCCCCTGCTCCAATTTAACCTCTTGGGTATCCTTGCTATTAGTAATAGGGCGACTTTAGAAGACATCGACGAAAGAGTGGCCCAGCTTTCTCGAGATCAAGGGCAGAGTTAGACTTGACGCATTGGAAAAAATCTTTCGAGACTCCCTATGTCTTGAACTCTTGCAGTCATGATTCTCCACTTTGTCTTGAAGACTATAATGCAAGATGGCCATTCCCTCTCTTATCCAAGATGGCCGTTCTCAATCTTCACCGTCCATCTCGAAGGGGCGTGTTGGAATCTACAGCTCCATTCTAGTTAATTCAGTTTGATTAATTAGTTAGATTAGTTGGTTAGTTTGCCATTTTCTATAAATACACTCCTTGTATTGAAAGTTGAATTGGATGAGATCAATATAATTTCTCAGCCCATTTGTTCTATCATTTTCTTCTCTGTTTTCTTTTCTACTATGGAGCTTAATTCAAGCTTCTTGATGAAGCCGTGGTTTTCAATTCTTATAGAATTTAACACTAAGCAATAATGATTTGTCACAATGACAAAATCGAATACTGTATTTACCTAAAAAATCCAAACCATGGTATTTTACATTCCTCTGTTTACCAATTCTTTCGATCAAAAAATAGACAGACCGCCTCAATTGAGACCTATAACTTCTTAATTTCTGTTGGTTCGCTTGAATCCTAAACATAACAACTCAAATTGGGAACAGATTAAATGTATCTTAATAAACAGATTCACAAAATATTATTTTCCCTTTGGCCCCTATAAGCGTCCAATATTTTATTACGAGAATTGAAACACGTAAACACAAATTCCCTACCACAAATAACAGTGGCAAAAAATAAGATATTAAAAAGTGCAGAAAAGGGTAGAAAGGAAGAACCTTTTGGGGCCAAAAGTGACCTGGGGCAGGGAAACATAAGCCCTAAGGGGATTAAGAGCATCGGTTGACCCAATTGACACATTTTTGTTTTCAGAATGAAAAGCCCATTTGGAGGCTTTAGTAAATGAAGAATTTTCCGAGGAGGATGATACTGGTGAAAGGAAAATCTTGGAAGGCAATGAGTGCCTTAAAACTTCTGGAAGAACATCAGCTGTTGATGATGATTTATTGTTGTCAACGAGAACTGTATTTGTATTCGAATTTGCCGATTTAATGGTGGCAGAGGTGTTCTTTGGGTGTTGGAGGAGGCGGGTCACGGCTTTTTTGGATTCTTGTAAGAAATAGGCGCCCTCCGTGCTTGCTAATCTTCCCGCAAGAAAACTCATTTCTTCTCTCTCTTGGTTTCTTTGCGGTAATTGATGGGATGTGTATATTTGTTTGTTTGTAATTCTTGTTTAAATAGAAAGCAACCGTCAACTGTTTTTAGTTTGAGAAAATTGCATCATAGATCCCTACAAATCGCTCAAATTGAAACTTCAATCTTCAATAAGGAAAAATGGAAAATTGTTAAATTGTTTGTTAAATCATTGCTTATACTTTATGAATACATGCTCACTTTTAAATTTTTGAGTACCAGCCCATGTAAAAAAAATTGAATTCGTGAAATTAGACATATAAGAGCTAAGGATTTTAGAGAGTTACCAAAAAAAATTTCGGAACCTGATGGAACTAGATTCATAATCTATGTGATGCTCAATAGGTATTTGGTTCAAGCCCAAATGTTTGGGAGTCTAAAGTAAACGTGTCATGACTTTTTCCTTTTTTATTTATTTGAGACAAGCAAAGCTCACATCTAATTAAAATTGCATATCCAAATAAAACTCAGCCCTTAGACTCGTCTTTTCCCAATGTGGAAGTTAAAATCGGTACACATCCGTTAACCCCAAAAAGTAAGCTCAACAAATGTCGGGCTCATTCTTGTCACGTCAAATACGGATCCGACGCGTTTTTATCGGAATAACGGCGATAATCAGTTGGAAATGGACGCGGGAGGCACTTTGCGCAAGAGACGAAAACGTTCGGACTCCAACGATAAGATTTAATGGCAATCGCACTATCAACGATCACCAAACCAAGATAATCAAGAATATTCCACTCTCTTTGTTTGAAGGAATGTATGGAAGGCCACATTAAATGAATAATTTGTAGGAAATTCACAATATTTAATATTAGAATTTGTAATCAACGAATATGTAAAGAAATGTTGATGAAAAACTTGATAGTATTTCCTCATGAATTTCCTATGAGTTTTTAGTGGGTATGTGTTTGATATCTTGATCGTAAAAGAGCAAAAAAAGCACCCATTTTCTTACAAAGAGAGCCTATTTATAATATCTTGGGGTGAGGTTATGACCATTGGATTAGAATCAAGTAGCTTCATCTCCTTTGTTGAGATGTCACATCATTGTTCATTCATGCAATTAATGCATTGACAAGGGGTTAGCCGCTTTATATAATAGGCTAACACACTGACAAAACTTTATTACAGACGTCACGTTAATCACTGTCTAAAAGATCTTCAAATCTATCACAAGATGTCTAAAAGATCTTCAAATCTATCACAAGACAACGTCGACTTCATGAACTTTGGAAGAGTTTGAGAGCCTCGGAGAGATCTTTGAGGTGGTTCTCCAAGTAGAGAGCTTCAACTCCTTTCTTTGTTTCCTTAAGCAGTGGTTCAGCCCAAGATTGTAGTGCTTCGTCCTTGAGCAGCGCTTCAGCAGCGGACCTCGGCCTCAATATGGACCTCGGCCTTTGAGGTAGTGCCTCAGCCTTACAATGCAAGGACCCTGGGTTTGTTTGATTTCTTCATATTTTGACCTCATAGGATCTTTATTTGACTTGTTGACTTTTCGCTTACGTGACTTGCTACGTGGCGCTTCTTCCTGGGCCTCGGAAAAATGAGGCGTAACAACATCCATTTGAAACATGAAGATTTAACTTTTAAAAATCCATTTGACAGGGCTTTTAAAGTCAAAAGTCGTTTTAAGAATACAAAGCTGTTTTTTATATATTTTAATAATTTTATGAAAATGTTTGGTCTTTCAAGAATTGATTTTTCTCTTTTACTTATTTTATTTTAGATAATTTACATATTTCATGGACTAATTACATGTTTTGGTGAAGATTGAACCAATTGAATTGACTAACGGTTTAAGATGGACTTCATGTAGTCATTTATTGTCGACGTCGAACTTTGCATCATCGGAGTTTTTGTTGACCTATGGTCGATCTAATGTTTTATTATAAGTATTCGAGTCTATATTATTAATATTACATGTTGCGAATTTGATCAAATTGGAGACAAAACAATTGCTACTAAAGGTGACGATCAAGAAAGCTCAAGATGGAAATCGAGCATTCACAATCGAGCTTGGAAATTGAGCATTCTCAATCGTGCACTCGCGTCAAATCAATCGAAAATATTCGAATTATATGTTTGAACTCACTTGTAGAGGTAAAAAACTTTAATCCTTAGCAATGACTTATTGAAAGCTCAAGTGACGAATTTTTATGCACGATAAAAACTTACTTCGTAAAACGTTTTGCACAAAAATTATTTTTCAAATGTAAGAATTTCAACTTAATTTTCAATCCTACTAGCATCACTTACCTTGAAAAATCAAGTAAATACGTCATGCAAAAGCATACCTTGTGTTAGAAAATCAAACGGACAAACCGAGACTTTTCTGTCCATCCGGATGTTCAAATGGTGAACCAGATATCCGATTCTGATTTCTGACAAAGTAACAGCTGTTCAGTGGTTCGGTACTGTTCCGGACGTTAGGATGATCGTCCGGTGTTAGCCCAAGAATAACTAACTAAGAGGGGGTGAATTGACTTTTAAAACTTTTTCGACAATTAGTCTCAAAACTATTCAATACACAAAATATGAATGCAGAGTATAATTAGGCCTCTGTTTGGGCCACATTATTTTTTTTCATTCTCATTCTTCTACTCATTTTCAACCACACATTTTTCAATAAAATAATATTTTCCATCACATCAATAACTTTTCCTTTTTATTATTGCTTTTAACAGTCATTTTTCTGTGTTAAACCTATGGCACTGTACATAGACAAATATTATTAGTTGGCTGAACCTCACAGTTCCTTGATCCTTAAGAGATTGTTTCTAGAATATCATCATAACAAACTTTAAAAGTGTGAGTACTTCAATCATGATAAATAAACGAAGTTGTATGATAATCTTTCTTTAGATTAGAGAATGGGGTAGAAAATTAGTAGCTGATCAAATTGATCACCAAACCAGCCAGTTAGCCACAATATCAAGTCAATTAAGTAGATAATCAATACTATCCTCTTCATATCTATTTGACCAAATCACAAGCTCTTGTTAAGGTCTATGTAAAGATTTATACAGGAATTATGTGTAATCGTGCTCATGTTAAAGATGGGTCTCAACTCTAATATATGAATCTGACCCTTTCAGTTCAAACTTCAAACTACATCATCTCAATTCTCAACTAAATTTCACTACATAACTATATTAGATAACACTTTACTGTTTGTTGCTATATCAGAACAATTCTGGCATAAAATCAAAGCCATGACAAGATTTCTATCACCAAAATCTTACTATATGCTTTCCTTACTACTATCTTCGGAGTAATACAATTAATGGATTGTTCATCAATCAAACTTCCAAGTATCAAATTTCTAGGTAAAGCCAATATAACTGAATGGTACATCTGCAAGGGCTCATGTCATTCTAGGAGCAATTTGTTCTACAGACAAACAGAAGTATAAGCAGCATTAAAAGCGTGGTCAATAAGTTCCGTGCACTTGGCGATTACCACACCTCCAAAGTGATGTAGAACAACAGAAGCTGCAACAGTAACATTAAGAGAAGCAGTGCCACAACCAAATTGTGGAATATAAACAAAGAAGTCACATATCTCACACCCTTTTGCAGAAAGCCCAGTTCCCTAACACACAAAACCAAAACATTATGCAACTTCCACGAAGAAATCAGTGAAATTAGCAATATCAAGCAAAAAATATTTCCCCACAGGAAAAATAAAGTTTGAAGAACTGTCATACTAGGATGGGTCCAAGACCTAATGGCTTAAGCTTTAAAATGAAGTGGGTTCCATGGTTATAGATTGGGCTTCGTCCTTCTTATTTACACCCAAAAAATTGGCATTAGAGCCATGGTTGTTGATCTGTAATCAGTCTTCAAGCATTTGCTGTGTACCATTCTTGGTGTTTGACCATATTTATTAGGATTTGTTAATTAACTCTTTATTTTTCCTTTTTAAAGTTCATTGTTCTTCACTTCTCATCAGTTCAGTTGCATCTGCCAGAGTTTGTCCGNGAAGTTTCGGTTGATCAATTTCGATCGACCGAAGTGTGAATATAGTCGTTGGAAAATCAAATCGTTAGAGTTTCGGCTGACACTTCGGTCGAGCGGATCTGTCGACCAGTAGAAGTTCGATCGACCGATGTGGGAACCGATAAGTACTGTAAATACGGTGAGAAGATGCAAAATAATGTAAGCAGCATCTTTCGGTCGACCGAATTATGTTGGATCGAACCTCTGCATTTTCTATCCCTCTTTATTTATTGCTTTCATATTCGTGCTTATTATTTGAATTAATTTATCTAGTTATTGCGTGCTTGATTTTAGATTAATTTTTCAAAAAAATTTTAAAAATCAATTCACCCCCTCTTGATTAACTATTCTTAGGCTATCGGTTTTTTCAATATTCTTTCAAAAATAGGTTGTATTTTTGTGTTGTAAATTAAATAAATTCATCATATTAGACGGTAGACCTAACAATTTGAGAGTTCAACTAGGTCTCGATAACCTAAAGCCTTGGATGGAACCGACCCTTTCAATTAGTAATTGAAAAAATTGCTTGTTTTGATCTAAAAATCAAGAATTAGTCAATTCATATCTATTTCTCGATATTCATTGAAGAACCGAAAAGTTTTTAATCTTCTTCCCCTTCTTTTTCATTTTTAACTTTAATTGGAGAACTTTTTACTTTTCTTTTTAACAATTTGCACTAGTATGAATGTTGAAAATTAAATGTTTAATGAGCCCTAAAGTGGTGCTATTATGAGTTCAAGTTTTTATTTCCCTTCGATAGACCCACATAGTAATCATATTTTGGTATTGTTGAGTTTCTTTTTCAGCAATTCTCAACTAAAATAATAGCAAATATAAAAACTTGATTGATTTAGGTGGACACTGTGAGATGCCATTTAAACTAAATAAACAAACTTGAAGCATGCATTAAGTTGGAACAAATGAAATTTGGACCCCCCCCCCACCCACCCACCACACCACAATTGAGATCTGGTTGTACAAATATAATAAAATATTAATTACCAAATTGCTCTTTTTTGAAAAATTGAGAACTAAATTGTTACTCACAATGATTGAGGACCATGGTACAATTTTCCCTTTCAATTAAGAAATAGAAGTGTTTGACCAATTAACCTTTTTGGAGTAATTCGCAAGAAATCATAATTAACCGTTCTAGATATTCGCAAGAAGTCATAATTAAACATTCTAGATACTTAGCTCATGTTTGAACCACATTATTTTTTTCATTCTCATTCCTCTACTCATTTTCAATCACACATTCTTTAATAAAATAATATTTTACATTACATTAATAATTTTTCCTCTTTTTTCTACCACATATTTCCCATCACATCACTTCAAAAAAAAATGCATTCTCTCATTAAGAAAATCAAAATCCATACCAAACAGGCTCTGAACCACATTATTTTTTTCATTCTCATTCCTCTACTCATTTTCAATCACACATTCTTCAATAAAATAATATTTTCCATCACATCAATAATTTTTCCTTCTTTTCAACCACATATTTTCCATCATATCACTTCAAAAAAATACATTCTCTCATTTTAATGTGCACCAAACGGGATCTAAATTTAGAATCTCCCTACAGTAACATTAACTTTGACATTTTTTTTATACCGTGTGAGGTGACACATTTTTTTATCAGTAATTTCAACGACATTTAAAATAATTTATGACATAGATTTTTAAATGTCAATCTTAATTTATACATAAAATATAAAAATAGTATTTTCCTTAAAGTGTATTTAACTATATGACAAGAATTAAGCTATATTACCTTTTGCATAATACTTTATGGTTTTACCGGTTTGACAAAGTATTTTATAAAAATTTAGTAGATTTTGATAAAAATTGATATAAAGTATAATTGAAAAATTGATAAAAATATAAATACTCTTGAAATATTAATTAAAATTGAAGTTCAATGGATTGATAAAAATATCAAAGCTGCTGCACGTATATTGTGAGTTACGTTGTGATCATGCGGATCCCCCATAGGGAATGTCATTCTAGATATCAAAACTTTATCAAACATACAAGGGCAACATTGTCATTTAATTATGACCAAAGTTGGTCTCACTCTCTGGGATCCAGCCTGGAATTCAAGAAGTATTCTCAGAAGAACAGCATAAACTAGTCCCATCACACAACCATAACTCCAGGAAACTATTTACACTTGCATCTTTTTCTTTTTGGCCTTGGAGAATTATTTTACGCTAACTTTTTGTATCAGAAACATCATGTTAAAGAAGAATTTATTGTCGGTCCACATGCCCATTATAATATTTGGAACAGCGTTCCAAATCCTAAACTCTGCAAATCTATACAAAAGTTACTTTCATTAACGTTTCCCTTTCTTTCTCTTGTCAAAATATGCAAGAATATCCTATAATGTAATCTTCAGCTTCAAGAAAACTTCAATGCCATTCTTTAATGGAAAATCCTAAGCTCATAATCCTCTTCTTTCTCTTTATCCTCCTGCCATCATCACTCCCCGCAGGTAATAATCCCAAGAACCCTTTCGATGATATCATGTAAGGACGTTTAATCGTGCTTAAAAACGGTTTTTTTTTTTTTTTGGGGATTATGTCAAGTTTTCTTGTACTTCCTTGCAGTGATTAAGGTTGAACAAGGCAAAGATGAGCCATATGTGGGAGTGAACATAGGCACAGATTATTCCGACGCGCTTTCGCCGGAGGAATTGGCTTCTTTTCTGCAGTTACAAAAGATAACACATGTAAGGCTGTACGATGCTGATGATAAAATTCTCAAGGCACTGGCAAAAACCCATATTAGAGTCATTATAAGTGTGCCCAACAACCAGCTTATTGCAATTGGGTCCTCCAACGCTACCGCGGCCGCCTGGATTGGCCGCAACGTGGCGGCGTACTACCCGGAAACACTCATCACCGCCGTGGCAGTGGGTGATGAAGTCTTGAGCACTATTCCAAGTTCAGCTCCTTTGCTTATGCCTGCAATTGAGTCTCTGTACACTGCTTTAGTGGCTGCAAATTTGCATACTCAAATCAAGATTTCAACTCCCAATTCTTTTTCCATTGTTCTCGACTCATTTCCACCTTCCCAATCCTATTTTAATCGAACTTTAAGTCCTGTTATTTCCCAATTGTTGAAGTTTTTGTCAAGAACCCAATCACCTTTGATGATGAACTTGTACCCTTACTATGTGTTTATGCAGAATAATGGGGTTGTACCTTTGGATAATTCTCTATTCAAACCCTTAACGCCCACTAAAGAAATGGTTGATTCCAATACTTTGCTGCATTACACTAATGTTCTTGATGCCATGATTGATTCTGTGTATTTTTCGATGAAGAATCTTAATGTCACTGATGTAGTGGTACTTGTTACTGAAACTGGGTGGCCAACAAAGGGAGATTCAAAGGAGCCCTATGCAACAATTGATAATTCGAATACGTATAACTCGAATTTGATTAAGCACATTCTTGATCGAAGTGGTACACCGTTGCACTCTGACATCACTTCTAGTGTGTACATATATGAGTTGTTCAACGAGGACTTGAGGTCTCCTCCTATCTCGGAGGCACATTGGGGGCTGTTTTATGGGAATTCAAATCCTGTTTACTTGCTTCATGAGTCGGGGAGTGGCACATTCTTGGCAAATGATTCCACGAATCAAACGTATTGTGTAGCGACCGATGGGACTGATACAAAGACGTTGCAGAAAGCGTTGGATTGGGCATGTGGACCGGGGACGGCGAATTGTGCAGAGATCCAGGCAGGGGAAAATTGTTATCTGCCTAATAATATGTATAATCACGCTTCTTATGCATTTGATAGCTATTATCAGAAAGAGAAGAAGGCTCCTGGTTCTTGTGACTTCAATGGTGCAGCCATGATCACTACAACTGATCCAAGTAAACTCTACACTTGATGATTATTCTTAGTTGCAACACCATTAATTATCTCTACATGTGCATTTTGGCGCGTTTTATTTACAACTAGTTTTGAATGCATAATTTAAATAAACAATAAAAGTGTATGCTTTGGTAGGATAATTTATAGCCTAGCAATTTGTGGCTCCACTTGTTTTGTGTAAATTCTATCATCTGAAATATGTCTTCCTTTATGGCTATATTTGCAGGTCACGGGAATTGTATATTTCCTGGAAGGTAAGCAATATCTCTGTGCGTTATTGGTACTCTATTGTCCTCGTCTTTCTCATTTCCCAATGATATATGGTTTTAGCAAGACTCAGTATAATGTAATAACCATTGTCATAAAAACTGGACTGACCCTTTAACGTTTTTGTGTTAATACCGGGACGGTTTTTTAAACATTGGAAAGAATAGTTCGGCTTATCAATCTTATTTAGCCAGTGAATTTGTTATGATAACGAAAATATAATAATTGATGCAGCAAGAAGGTAAGCAAGAAGACGAGGAGGCAGGTAGTGAACTCGACACAAGCAAGCGGTGTAGGCACTCTGAGATTCTTCGGCATTCCTATAAGTTCCTTCAACAAGGATTTACATATGGTGTTTTATGGTGTTGTTTTTTGTTGGTTTTTTAGCTTATTCCTTTTATGAAAAGAATTGAAGGTACAACTGAATAATTTTAGCTTATGTTGGACAAAATATTCACTGATTTCTAGTGTATTTGTTTGTTATGTTGTACTTTATGAATAGCTGAAAGTTGCCGGGGGTCATACAAAACAAAGAGAAAAAGGTGAGGTACCCTATGCTTATTAGCTGGAAGAGATGAATAAAGTTTTACTCCCATCTTCTGGAGGAAGTAAAACTGCCCCTTTTGTCATTCTTTATGCTTCCTTTTTTTTTGGTCTTATTCGAGCTGTTAATGAAGAAAATTCAATCATACAGTTGAATCCCACGAAAATTAAAAGTTTGAGATGTTAGGGGAGAACAAATTTATTAAGAGTGCAAATCGTGCAAGATGTGGTTCCTCTTTAAATTTACAATAAAAAATATGGATCGATTCATATAGGGCGTTCCATTTTAAAACACCAACATCGTTAAGAAGTGTGGTCTGATCTCCGAGCAATGTGGAATTTAACACATAACGTGCCTAGCAAGATGGAGGCTCATATGAGACACTAATCTCGCATTGGATCAAATTGATAACTTGAACTATTTGGACCTCGATGTCATATTGATTCTCGAGATTTCATATTAAAAAGTAATCTTTGTTAAGAAAAATAGCCTTTGTTTCTATCAGCTTAATATGCCTTGATCGTTTGATAACGTTCACTGTACATAATTGTTAGTACGTTTTCACCATAAAGGGGGCAGAACAAGGAAGATTTGCAAAATAAAAACTTAAAACGAGTTTTATTCAATGTGGAATTTTAATTTCTCGTTACTAGTTGAGTTTTACTTTAGGCCAGAATTAGGTTGATCATCAAGATCATATGATTCATATTACACCATTTTTGGCACATTCGCAGTTGATCTGTAATCCAAACACGGATGTTAGATGATCACTTTCCTTCACTTACTTAAATTTGACTAATTTTCAGCGTCTATATAATCTTCCCTCATACACTAATATTTTCATTCAGAGTTCTCTCCAACACTAAAAATGGCATCCAAGATTCTCCTTTTGGTTGTGATTTATGCATTTGCTTGCACTATCAATGCAAGGACCCTTCCAATTGAAAAGAACGCAGCGGATGAGCAGACGACGTTCTTTCACCGACACTTTCCTCCTTATCGCGGGGCTTTCAGTGGTAGGTTCGGGGCTGGCAGAGGAGCTGGCATGGGGGGTGTAGGAGCAGGGTTTGGTGGAGGGTCTGGCTTCGGTGCTGGTTCTGGTGCTGGTGCGGGTGACCTTGGTGAAGGATTTGGTGGTGGACAAGGCAACGGGGCTGGAGCCAGAGGAAGTGGGATTGGGTCCGGTGGCAACGGAGGAACTGGTGGAGGGTTTGGTGGTGGCGGAGGGATGGGTACTGGATTTGGCGGAGGAGCTAATGGAGGATTTGGAGGTGGACTGTCCTAAGACTCCATTGTAGTCCCCATGCAAGACGCTTCCTATATGCAGTTATTTATAAGAGGCTTATAAAGCCTATAGAGAAATAATTTGCTAATATTTATTTCTAGTTTAATTCTTATCTGAAAAAGAATTTGAATACAGAAATGTTGTGGTGATTATCTGAAAACCAGCTGTGATTTTCAGTTATTATCCATTGTTTCCATATCAATAGTAGATCATGTCGATTTTCATTCGAGATTCAAATGTCAAAAAAAAAAAAAAAAAAGAAACCCAAATGCTATTTTTGAGAATAAAAAGGACTCTAAATGCAAATTTTCCTAGAACAAGGACGATTAAAAAGATACTTACTGCTCACATAAATATATCCCGTGCTACCCTGCCCCATATCAAACATGATATACAAAAACTTTTATAAACACAGTTTAAACCATGTTAATGGATAGGGTAAAGCTAGAGATGTTTGAATAATATTATTATTATTATATCCTATTTTTGCCCCGCAGAGAGGGCACTGCCAGAGCTGTTTGAATAATATTTTACAAAGATTTACATACTAGAAGCCTGTGCAAACCATGTCCCACCGACTTTGACGTGAATTTACTGCATCATACCCTTGGCCACTGTGGACCCACAACCTGCAATGACAATTATTCATGAAAATATATTTCGAATTAAAATCATCGTAAGTGTACAGTTCGTTAACAACTAATAAAGTGAATATTTTGAGTCGTCCCACGAAAATTGATTAGTTCAATCCCTATTACCTTGACCTTAATCGAAAGTAGAATAGAATGACGTGTTTGTTTTGATGAAATTATAACTAAAATAATACTAAATATGCAATTATAAATGATTTAACTAAATTAAATGCAAACGGCGTTAAATGTAATTTGAGGTTTTCGAATGTATGGTGAATGTACTGTAAATGTTATGCCCTAATTCCAATCAACTTTGGATATAAACACTTTTAATACATACATATAATCTATGTATATTTATGGCAAGATCTATCATTTAATTAAATTAGCATTCTAATAAATTAAATAATAGAATCCGTAGATTCAAGTTTTGGTGATTTGTTAATCACAGTGAGTTTTAATTGTGAGATACAAATTACATATGATTGAATCATAAATCGTCAGTGGTCGTATGTAATAATGAGATACGGATATCGTTATTACGGACAGACCATCACGTGTGGCATTTCTTACTTGTGAAGTAAGTAGATGATCTCACAAGTTAAAGTGTGGTGACACTTGAATGAACACGTGGATGTTTTGTTATAAAACAAAATATTGGAGATCCGCTGAGAGATTCCACATGGATAACTATTTGACTGTCAGTGGCTAATCTCTAACGTTCGATATTGAAATTGGTCATTTGACTTGACGTCATTATAGTGCCTTATATAAGGACAATCATACTATGGTGATGTTGGATGTTGTCATGCCAAGGGTTGCTAATAAGATATCGTTCGGATATGTCACGAATTATATGAAGGTTGTGAGTAATCAATAGAGGATTCGTCACTCTTAAATAGTAAGAAATTATGATCTACATTTCATTGAATTAAGTTGATAATGAAATAATTGCTAGATGTCAATTTGGGACGACGGATGTGAATTAGTGATAAATTAAAATGAGTGTTTTAATTTATCGATTTTGATGAGATCAAAATAATAATTCATGTCATTAAGTATCGTGATTGAGAATCTAATAGATCACACACAAAAGGAGAACTAGAAGAATGTGATTTATCAATTAATTAATAGACAAGTGTTGAATAATTAATTAATTGAATTGCTTATTAATAAACCCGTCATGGACCAAATCTAATTAATTGGATTAATTAAATATTGGACCAGATTAAGTAAAGCGATGGCCCAAGCCCCGTTTGGACTTGTATTAATAGACTGCTAGGGTTTGAAAAAAGTGAAGAGAAAATAATTATTTTTACTAGCACAAGAAAAGTAAAAACCCTTGTTCTCTCAATCTTATTCCATGTGTGAATTTTCATTGGAGGCGAGACAATTGGATAGCTGTGGATTGTAGATCGTGATTGTTCGTGTTACAAGATCTGCAAATGATTTTGCAGAATCTACAAAATGTATAATTTCAATCACAGTTTCTATTTAAATACAAAGTAGATCCTTGGTGGGAATTGAAATTGTTTTATTTTCCGCTTGTATGATTAAGTAAATTCACAACAATTGTATCAGAGTCTACTTTGTACTTGTTAGAAACTGTTTTGTGTATTTGAGCAATCAACAATTTCTAGCAATTGAGAAAATTTGATTTTCATATTTTAAAATCTATTTTTAAAAAAAATAAAATTCGAATTTGGAGGCGGTAGACGGCGATGTTGCCGGTGACAACACATTCACCGGACCTGGCAACAGCGCACTGCTATAGAAATTGCGATGAAATTGCAGCGCTTCGCGCTGATGTTACGCAGCGACAGATCCGTCGCACATTGCCATCTGCGGCACCAGTGAAAGGAAAAAAAATTTCTAAGGTTTTATCGGGTGAGGTTGAATGGAGGCGGAACCTCTAATGCAATTTATAAAATTGTAGGCCCCCACCTGCAATTAATGATAAGGGGTCAAGTTTACAATTTTTAAATGGAGGGTCTGTCATGCAATTTAGTTAATTGAAGGGCATGTTTATAATTTTAAAAGTACGGGTCGGATTGTAATATTTGAAATGATTTTGAATTTAAAATTTAAAAAGGTTTTAAATTAGATTTTAAAAGGAGTTGATCTTAAAATTTTAATTTTGACCAGTTTAAAATAATATTTAAAATTGACGACTTTTATATTTTCGTTAAAGTTGGATTTTAACTTAAATATTAAACTTTGACCATAAATTGAATTTTATTTTATTTAGGAATTTTATTTTAAATTAAAATGTTAATTCAATTTAAATTAGAGTTGAATTCTAATTTTGTATTTAATTAAAATTTGATTTTAAATTAAATTATCTCACCTTAAATTTTTTCTTGAAATTAGAGTTGGACTTTAATTTGGTATTTAATTAAAATTTAATTTTAATTAAATAAGTTCGTCGTAATTTCTTGGAATTAGAATTGGACTCTAATTTGGTATTTAATTAAAATTCGATTTTAACTAAATAAGTTCGCCCTAAATTTTGAAATTAGAGTTAGACTCTAATTTGATATTTAATTAGAATTTGATTTTAATTAAATAGTTCCGCCCTATGATTGTGAAATTAGAGTTTGACTCTAATTCGAAATTTTATTAAAATTTGATTTTAATTAAATAAATTCGCTAATTAAATTAATTGATTAATTTGATTAATTAATTATTTAATTGTTCCGATCATTTTTCTAAATTAGTTTAGACGACTTTAATTTCTAGAAATTTGAAATATGTTTGCATTTAATATTAGATATTATATAAGAAAATATTTATGTGATGAATGTTTTATTAGTGGATGATTATGGACTCGACCATATAGATGTGTTGAATGGTTAGTTTTATTCTTATTGTTTTACGGGTCTGCGAGCTCTTATTTATTTTGGGCGTGCGAGTCCGTTGTAAATTTATGTGAGAGGGTCATAAATTTGAGTTAAACAATGAGAATGAAATTAATTTAATAAAAGACCATTTTAAATTAATTGATGCATAATATATAT